CGTTTCAGCGGACTGCTTATGATAATCCTCTGCTTTCATACAATCAGCAAAGAAAAACGATTCTCTTTTGAAATGTAAAGCGCTTATTATAATAAGTAGCTATCGGTCTATCTATAATAATTAATTATTTTCAATTGTTATTTAGTGTACGTAAATATTGAGGAGGCTTTTAGTTTTTAAAGTCACCGGACTGAGAGGATGTAGGTCGGTTCTTGAAGAAGGACTTAAGTGTTTCGTCGATTTGATGACAAATTTTTCAAAAATGATTTTCTCTGAATACAAACAAGGTTTAAGAAACGAGTCAAATAGGTCAGTGGCGATACATAATATTTGACCTGCACGAATCTGGAGATGCAAAGTGCAAGCTACTGCTTTGATAATGTGGAGCGGCATTTATATTTTCTGAATTCTTGAACAAAAGCAGCTTTTCGACCTACATCTTTATTTGTATTGCGATTACTGCATAACACTCCCACAACGAGGGATAGGACTAGATGATTCAGTACGCGTTCTGCGGATTAGCTTTTCAAGGTTTTCGTGTTTACCCACGCACTCTGTGGATTATTTGCCTTAATTTGTTGTTAACAATTTAATATGTGGTCAATATTATTGTACACGAGATTCTATTGGCTGATTCCTTCAATTGTTAAAACTAAACAGTTTTCAGATGGCCCAAACGAATCTAAAATAATTTTGCGTCCTCTAACCAAATGTTGCAGTTGTCGAAGACCATGAATATGACTCAGGCGCGGGTACCATTGAGTACCTTTTAAAGGCCCACTCTACACTCTCAGTGAACACAGTTCGTACAATATGTTGTTTCAAAGGCCGCACGTGTACATAAATTAATACGATAATATCATCTTTTTTGTATACCTAAAAACATATTTTTAATTGAACGTTAATTTCTCTTTCGAATTATATTCTACTGCGTTACACCCTAGCCGAAATAAATCTCGCGAATTGCAACCCCTTCATATGTAGGTTTCCACGAATCTTTAATTCAATAACGTTCTGCGTGCTTCGTTTCACCGATCATATTGAATTTTGATATCGAATCCTAAAGGCAATCCTAAGTTATTATTTGTTACAATATGTACGAGAGCGTCCAGATTTCGAGAGCACAATCACAGGCCCGATGTATATTAATCGTAACTAGGTATATACACAACGACTAGTTTTTTTTTATCTTAACAAATACGAAATATAATACGAAAATAAGTAGATCGACATCATTTTGTTTTTCATTTTATTGGAGATAATGTTAGGGACTATACAGACGAGACGTTAAAACGATTATTATAAACTACCTGCAGAAGTTGAGGGACGAGCACAAGGGTCACTAAAACCAGATTTTAGAAATAATTTCAATTTATTTCTAAAATCATTAGATTGCAGATACGTTTTTCAACAGTAAAAATCTGGAGTTATTTGTTTGTTTTATGTACGTTATAGAGCTCAGTTTAGCGGACGCTAAAAAGCGCTTACATTAAAACAATGGGCATATCACATTTCAACACTTTTAATCGTTCATATTTCAATTAGATAAAATTAGAATAATATTGAATGCGTTCAAAAATTTGCATAAATTAATTTGGATCGGGCGGTAAAATATGCGCATGATTACCCACTTTAGGCATAATCACTGTTTTCAAATGATTCAGGTCATTTGGCATAAATAGACGATGAGTTGTGGATTTTGTGGTCGTTCCACGCTAATGTTACGCGCGTTAGTTCGTTGTCTTTCTCGAGTTTTAGTGCAAAGTGCCTCCTAATTCTGTCGATTTAAACAGAAAAGAAAGAATATACCAAACTGTTCATAATATAAAGCCCAAAAGTTCATCTTTTGATTTCTGTAATTACTGCAGAATTATTACTGTTTTCTCGTACATAGTATGTTATAGAAAAGAGAGAATTTCCTTTGGGAAATTCTCAGATGCGACGTGCACTGTTTTTCATTTGCCTGTCTTTATTGTACCTGTTCACTGAATACGTATTGTTGTTATTGTGTGAAGCGCGCCTAATCCAGAATATTATACTTTTGTTAAATATTTTTTTGCTTACACTAGAAACCTGTTTAATTTTTACCAAAAATATTGGTAACTACCAGGTCAATTTCAAATCTATATTAATATACAAAGCTGAAGAGTTTGTTTGTTTGTCTGAACGTTCTAATCTCAGGATCTATTGATTCAATTTGAAAAACTATTATTATGTTAGATACAGCATTTATGGTGGAAGGCTATAAAACATCGCGCTGTGACTAATAAAACCGAAGAAATAGTGCAAAATGTGGAAAAAACGGAAAATTATTTATTCTTGTGGGTTTCCATTGCGTACGCTGCGAAAAACGGTTCAAGATACCTAAAAATATGTATGAAAGAGTTATTCCTCTTTACATGATCTAAAAAAGTGTTCCCGACAGTATATGTTTATCTTTCAAGATTAACTTGCAGGAACGTCGAGACGAGGGCACGTCGTGGGTAACAGCAAAAATATAAAAAGATGGAGAGGAGGTTTGCAAAACCAAATTTTGTCTATTTGTGTTCGCCCAAAATTACTATTCTATGCGAAAGAAGTCGCGTCCGCAGCTAGTATATTGTTAAGTTACAATATTAGAATACAGGGACCTATCAAGATTCGTGTTTGTGAACCTTGATTACTTACGGTTTAACTGACGGTTTAAGCTGCATAATAAAATGGGTAAGCATATTTTAAAACATAGACGACATGGAAGACAAAAACGATTAAACTACCAGGACACTTCCACTGGGCGCAAGAATTTCACCCTCCCACTTTCCACTTTACACAAATAATTGCAATGTTAACTAATTCAATACTTAATAATGTTTCCCGCTTACGTCACTGTTATTTCAAATATCAAATGGTTGTATGAGCGCTGCCTCACAGACAAACAGTAGGGTTTCGCTGAAAATCAGTGTTGTAGCATAACCGCGTAACTTACGCTGACGCAAGACCCTTTTGGCATCACTTTTATTCAGATTTAATTTAATATTTCGTATTCATTATTTTACTGTAATTACATTTATTTATACTGCTACTTCTAATGAAGAAATTTAATATTATTATTATTAAGTTATATGAGGCTCCACTAAGTGGATCGAAATATTGAACCATGTTAAAAAGTAAAATCGTCACCTAACACTGAAAAACATATCTGAAAATTGTCATTATGGCACGCATTGTTGTTGATTGATTCATCAATAATTTGATTTTGATCATATTTTATTGTTTTTAACAGACGCTATTAATATAATACAAATTGTCTATGATTACTTGACGTTATAATATATTTTAGAAATATTTCAACAGAATTAGGTACAATGGATGCAATACGGCGATGATGCTACCGCCTACCTTAATGTTCGTTAATGGTCATTTACATACATTCACGTATTGGAAAATGTTTATTTTACAATACAACTCTAACAAATGAGATAAATCAATCAAAGGAATAATTTAGGAGTTTAACGTCTACAATTCAAAGCAAATATTATAATATTTTTAAGCGACAACTTAGTTACAGCAGGTTGTAATTAAAATAAAAAAGATAAATGATGTCCTGTGCTATCTAATACACGCTAAAATATATTAAGTAGTAGTAGAGAGTATAACTAGAATTTCGATATTTAATGAATATAATGTGAAATAGCAAATTGCACCAGTTGGGCAGCGCACGATTGCCCCCTACCGACCTCCTTAAGAAATGAAAAGGTTATACCAATATAGGTAGTTGTGACGCCTATGTGAAATAACAAAACAAAATCAAGCAAGTTTGGAGAGCTGTCGAGTTCACTTCGTACGATTAAACACACCAACATTTGCGAGTTACAGATCGCACGTATGCATTATTGTGGAACTAAGTACGGTTGCAAACGACAAAGTTCCACGAGTGCTCATCCTGGTAATATGAACGGTGCGGACGGTCGCGAAGCTAATTTATGTTTTAATCTAGATATGAATTGAACAGCTGAACCTGCAATATACTGCATGGGAATTGAGAACTGAAATGAAACTATAAAATTGCCTTCGCAAGAGGAGCTGAGCAAGTAATTCCCCGCTTTACGTGATGCAATTCACCTTGGGACTACGAGCGTGTGCAAGGTTTTTAGTATGCATGTTGTAAAATCTTGGGAGAACAAATGAATTTTATATTGAACCGTGATATTTTTATTGTCAGTGGAAAAATAATAGGTGTTATTCGTCGCGGAAAAGCGTGGTTCGAACGGCATCGGTCCGACTTCCTTTAAGCGAAGCCCTACGTCGATATTTATTGCCGTGGCTGGGATTAGTTAAGAGAGACGAGCAAACGCGCCTAAGCAAACATAATCGTGCGCTACGCATGTAAGAACACAACATGGTTCAATCTGTCGCTTATTAGAGGTAAACACGACGATGAAATTAAGTACAAACGCAAATGTTATCGCGGGTAATTACGGGTTTACGATTTATTAATACTGACATAGATGTAACAATGTTCTGTATACCTATTAGTAGGGCTAATAAACCGCAAAATTTAAGGGGAATCGCAATTTTTATTCAATGTATGCATACAGGGCATCTCGAAGTACTTTATACAGCTATTATGAAGTGTCTAGTTATATTATCAGCGGCCGCATCATTTTTAATTTGATTTTACGTAACGCGTATGGCGTAGTAGTTGTAATAAAAAACTAAATTAGTGGTTTCGTTCGAATGGATTGGATTAATGGGTGTTGTTACACAGTTCTATCTCACTAGACAACAAAAATATTCCAAAAGAAAATTAAATTGACTTACCGACCTTCTTAAAACTTTCCAATAGAAGAGACGTTATATTAGAGAACTGTTTATCACAAACAAACTTTTCTAATCGTTACAAGTCTATCAGTGTAGTAATGTTCATAACGAATAAATACAATACGCGTAAAGTTACAATAAGCGCCAACGAACAAAGCAAAAGTGAACAGAACCGCAGTTTACCGGGAGCCTTCAAAGTCTTAATTAGAGTTTAGACCATCCGACGATGAAGCAGGGTACACAACTTCCTGATGTGCTGATGGTGCTGTGCCGCCAACGAGAAGCTGATGCGGTGAGTCCCTTTTATATTTTACATGTTTCCTTTGATCAACGTTTTTAATTGTAATGTCATCTTATTGCGTTTCCGTTTGTAATTTCTATCAAATCTAATCCAGAATATTAATGGTAATTATGCTTGTCTTAAATTTACTACTGATTTTAATTGGCAAATAGTATTTGGTTGAGTAGCTTTTTTTTTTATTTAACACCGCCATGTTGCATCTACGCGTTAACAAGAGCGACGCCATTACGCGACCAGTGTACAATTTCATATATTTTACGTTCTCATCGTCGTGTAATTGTTACGTATTGGGAGATAAAGACATTGAACGATATTTACTTCAGTTTTCGAAAAGAACGATCTCTGCTTAACTGAGTCCGGACGAAACAAAAATCGGAAATATGTGGCGACGTGGACACGTTTTGCCATTTTAACCTTCATCCAATGGAAAAATTAATTAAGGGTCCACAAGTAATACAATTAATAATTGATCTTAAAACTTTCTATATATAGGAAGATATATTCATCGTTTCGCGTTTTAAGTAGGTTTTTTGGCCAATTATTTAACTTCACGCTTTTCTAAGGCGTCGGAAGCAAATCTAACTATTGTTCACCAAAAGCTTTAAAAACTTATGAGGTTCAATTCCCTTCATTCTTATTTTTTTAAATTTCGTATTATTTCAAATATTTGCGTACCGTCCTTGATAGTCTGTTCTGCGGCCACCCTCACATCATTCTTGTCTCGATGTCTACGAAAAACGATTCGCGTGTACAATTGAAATAGGTACCTACTACCTACCCTCAGGCAATTATTGAATTATTAACAAATAAAGCGAGTACCAATAGATTTTATAGGCTCTCTAGGAATCGAAGAAGCGTAGAAAATGTTTAACTATATCTGTGTCATATAGAATAAAAATGTATATATTTGTGTAATATTTCAGAACACATCGTTAGCGGTAGCAGTATTTTGCGCGATCCGTACTAAATCCACTCATTAGTAACTGTGGTTCGCAAATTACACTGCGTGACTGGTGTTAAAGTGTAGTATGAAAATAGGTACACGGTTCGTATGTACAGCGCCACTAAAATATTCTAGTCTAGACTTCGGGTCACTGGTAACCCACGGTTAATTGGAACTTTTAAATAATGATTCTTATGTCGTCGTGTATCGTGCCGATGCCGACCAGCCTTGTCTGACGTGGGTTCGATTCCCAAATATGTAATCATCCTTCAATTACTTATAGTAAAGTTAAATTCATTTATCACATAGAATTTCTGTATTTAGGAAACGCCTGCAACAATCAAAAGTAAATATCAAACTTAGTAAGTTTTTAAGCCGACAGTCTCCTAGTTTTTCACAGCAACATAGGTAGCATATACACATAACGTGCATAGGAAGGACTTCCATACGGCATCGCTTGCTCCTTTGTAACAGCTATGACGACAATGCTTTTTGAAAAGTGTCTTGATACTAAAGCTGAATGTAAAAAGTCACTCTAGTCGTCTTAACTGGGGGTCCTGCCTACAAAAAGCTAAAAATAGAATATGAATGGCTCTTTACGATAGACATCTCGGAAAAGTCTCACGTCTTTAATAACTCTTATGGGGTCCAAGGTAGTTTTATTAACTGGTAATTTTATTGCGTTAAAAAAAAAAGATCCAAGTATCTTAATTCTGAGAGTTGAGCCACGCTTACAGGAAAATTTATAAGTGAAAGTTTACAGGCAGAAAAGGCAAAGAAAACGTTTATTTACTGACAGTTTTGTGCACATAAAGATTATATTTATTTTTTTAAATTTTAAAACATATTCTAGTATTAGTCCTTATTTATTTAAGAAAGTACATACGAATGAAAAGCAAGTAGGCCCCAAGTTGGGCCATTAATCGTTAACTCTCGCAATACCGGTCTTGACAAGTGACAAACTTAGAAAAATGTTCTCAAAGCGAACTGAGCTTAATCCGCACGTTCAATAAAATGTTGGGATTTGTTTGTACAGGTAAGTCAGTGCGATTTATCGTTTCGTGTAAATCCCCCTTTATTTGTTCCTCTTATCTACCTCACCTGCTTGTTTATGAGACTGGATAAAATAGATCCACTTCCGCTTTTTAAAACGCCTGAGCCATACGGCATCCATTACAGACAACGGAGAAACATACATTTTAACAAATAGCATTAAAGCGGGAATAGTTCAAAACGGGAACCGTTCTGTACGTCACACTAATACGCTGTTTTTTTAGGGTTACTCAAATAATTATGTTAATGTGGTTTCAAAGCAGCTTACGCGTTCAATTCTCACATTTTCCTCTAAACGAAGTATGGGATATCATTACGTAGATAGTACGTAGTCCGTAGGCCCGAGCCTGTAACTCATTATGAAAAAACACAGTTGTTAAATATTAAACTATAAATTATTTGTCGCCCACTTAACACACTTCAATGTTAATAAAATCCGTTCCGCGTCATACGATTAACAGGAAAAGTGTCTTTACGATCTGAAAAGCATAAGTCGCCAACGTCGAGAACAGTCCATCAAATCTTAAATAATGTTAAAGAAAAGATCTTAATGAAATAGTCCTTATCGTAGAATAGCAGCGATGTAGAATTATACTGCCTTATACGTGCATTCAGCACGCCTGCAAAGACACTCCCAACTTGCATGACTTCAAAGCAAATAAATACAGATGCACGATGTATCGCGGTATACTCTATAACGTTCACCGATCAGCTTTCCTTCGCTATCCTTTTTTTTTTTTCACCGAGACATTTAATTTTGAAAACTGAGCCTCTGGAACTAGACGCGTAAACTTTTTAATTACCATAGAGGTGTACAAATAGCGGTTGCAGTGAATTTAATATTTCATGGCCATTGTTATTCTATACATTTTTGGTTGTTTAGTCGGTATAAATATTTCGTGGCGTCGTAAAGTAGCTTAATATTAAATTGAATATTATTAATCTCGAAAAAGTATTTCTTTTTTACGCTTACAATCATACAGGCATACGATTACATTTAAAAAAAATGTTCCCAGTTCTACGGACCAAGATTTCTTGTCGAAGCTTTTTGTGTTTTCGCGGAAACCGACTGAAGTTTCGCACACGAAAAGAATTTTCAGGCACGTGCTTTCCCATAAAGCCAGCGAGGGGAACGTGTGAAAATCAGAAATTAAGTCGAGTTAGAATGTTTAAATATCATTTTAAGTTCCCAGACGTCACATAAGTAATGCTTATGACCGGCGAAGGATCCTTTTCGCACGGAGGAGCGACGCGGAGTGGCTTAATTGTGTTTTAAGCTTTCTTTCCGAGTCAACTTATTCTGCTTACATTTCTGCAGTTTTGAAAAAGATTAACTATTATTATAGCATTAACTCTTTTAGACAATATTTAAGTGCTTATAACTATAACCACTTATAGAAATTTAGGTAATGTTTTTATGCAAGGGTACCTTCATTAAATATAAATACTATTATTATTAGATTCTTATTAATGAAGTTTTAACAAGCATTGTGCGAATATTTCAAGTACCTGATTTTATTGTGTAAAAGGAAAAAAGCCAGTTTCTGTGCTTCTTCAGTTAAATTCTGGTGACAGACGGTCTAAAAATTTTCGTCAATGTTACCCTTTGGCTACGAAGCCCTATTAATACTTCACATATTTTTATTAAGCAACAGCAACTTTAAATAACATTTTCAAAGAGCATGGAACAGTATCACGTTTAACTAAGATTAAATTACACAAGTTATTTATTTTATTTTATTTATTTATTAAAAACCAATCACACACCTTTACAGAATAACAATTCCAACATGATAGTGAGTTACAATTAATCATTTAAATAAAATTAAAATTAATAGTTATCATATTACATATAACGCTACTACATATACGTTATAGTCTTTATGAACTCGGTCACTGTACAATTAAAAATGTCTATTTTACAATTAACACTGTTAAGAATGTGAAGTGCTCGCATATTCGGGGAATAATACATTAAGTTTGTTCTCGCGGGACTGATGGCGAACAGTGATCTAGTACGTCGTCGTAGGTAGGCATCTGGGACGTAGAAGCTGATGGACTGTAGCACCGTGGGGTCATATGTGATGCCTCTCAGCACCTTGAACACATACGTGGCCAACGCTAGGTGCCTCCGTGCTTCGAGCTTAGCGTATCCAACCATGCCTAAAACGAATAACGTCGGATACATTAAGGGGTAGTAAGGATACACCCCGTAATGCCTTTGATATAAGTGCCTCGTAAACTTATTTTGAATACGCTCTAGCATACTGCTATACTTAACTTCGTGTGGCGCCCAAAGAACGGCGTTGGATTCCAACTGACTTCTTACTAATGCGTTATACAGCACTGTGATGGCTCTGGTACTGGTGAATGCAGACGCTCTCCGAAGGACAAAACCCAGTCGCTTATAAGCTTTCTTACAGACACTGACTATGTGGTCTCTAAACGTGTACCTTGCGTCTACTGTAACTCCGAGATCACGTACAGATTGCACTCTTTCCAAAGGTGCGCCTGCCAATTTGTATTCGTACCGAATTGGGGCTTTTGCTTTGGTAAATGTTATGACGCATGACTTAGATAAATTAATTTGCAGCTTGTTATTTTCGCTCCACGTCTTTATTTTATCTATATCTCCCTGAAGATTAATGCAGTCGCCTTTGTCCTTGACTGCCAATAAGAGCTTTAAGTCGTCGGCAAACAACAAACACTTGGCTTTTCTTACTACGTCAGGCAAGTCGTTTATCATGATCGAAAAATGCAAGGATCCTATATTGCTCCCTTGACTTACGCCGGAACGAGTAAAATATGTCGCAGATTGACACCCACAATACTCCACGTACTGTTTCCTATCCTTTAGGTAGCTGGCAAAAAACCATAATAGTTTAGGAGTGCATCCTATTTTTGCCAGCTTCGAAAGTAGGACATCGTTATCCACTACATCGAAGGCCTTTTTGTAGTCGAAGTAGGCTGCATCCACCTGCACCCCGGAGTCAACATGAGGAATCAGGTACGTAGCTGCATTTAGCAAGTTGCTGGTCGTACTTCGTTTTGGCCTAAACCCATGCTGAGAGTCAGTTAGGTACGTATCTATTTGCTGCTGCATACTTCGTTGAATGGCTGACTCGAATACTTTAGCAATCGATGATAAAACTGCAACGGGTCTGAACGATTCGATAGTTTTACCGCCGTCGCTTTTAGGTATCGGTACAACCCTAGTAGTTTTCCAGGCGTCCGGGAAGTGTGACCGATCAAGACATAAGTTGTAAACATGTAGAAATGGCTTGGCCAATACTAACCTGCAGTCGCGTAATAAGAAAGGCGGAATTCCATCTGGGCCCACGGAGCTTTTTGGCTTCAGCCGAACGAGCGCAACTTTTACTTCGGCTAGCGACAGTTCGGGTACGTGAACACGAGCACTACCGCCGCCGCTCGCCCTCACCGCTTCGTCAACATTGAGTCTCGCTGGTTCGTTATTGTACACAGAATAAAAATATTTCGCAAATTCATTCGCACATTCCGAATTCGATAACTGCACACCGTTTTTATAAACTGTTTGTTTTTGTGCAGACGATTTTTTTGCTCCGATATATTTCCAAAAAGATTTTGGGTCTTTAATTAAATTGTTTTGAATTCGTTGTTCGTATATCTGAAATGTCTGTTTTAGATTAGCCTTAACTCTCCTTCGACAAAATGCAAAAGCGTTATAATCCGTATCCGATCGACTTAATTTATAGCGTTTGTGTAACTTAGCCTTAAGCCTTATATCATTAATAATATCGGACGTATACCACTCGGGATAGCTACATTTATGATTTTTCGCGTTGGACTTTCTAGGCACATGCTTATCTAGAATGTTGTTCAAGATATCATATAACGCTGCAAGGGCGTGCTCAGGGTTTCGCATATTATAAACGTCACCCCAATCGACGAGACTCAGTGAGTGATATAATGAAGCAAAATCTGCTTTATAGAAATTCCAAGTTAATTTACTCCTACCTGCAGCGGTCCTACTTTCCCAGTTATGCAACACGTCCCGTCCTATCCTTGTATATCGGGGGTAGTCCAGCTCAATCAAGAGTGGCGGGTGATACGGGTCCACCAGCACCAACGGCTCGTCCGCCTCCTTCACCGACACCTTATCCCACAAGTATGACGAGCACAACACAAGATCCAGTTGCCTACCATTACAATTCGGAATATTATTAACTTGAGTGAAATCACAGTAAGATTTAAAAAATTCAAAATAATTTCTAACAACTCCATTAGTAGAATACAAATTAAAATCGCCTAGCAATAACACTTTTTCGTATTTTAAACACAGTCGCTCTAATAAATTTAAACATAACATATATTCGTTCTCACTGATTTTAGGAGGTAGATATACTACGCAACACAACAACAATAATTTGTCATTAGAGTGAACGGTCGCACAGACTAGTTCGAACGAGTGGCGATCTACCGTGACGTCATCTAGTTCGCATCGGCTCACTCTTTGTATTCGTAAACCGCGCGCGGCCACTAGAAATGCACCGCCTTGTTTACGTCCGTCAGTACGGTCGCACCGAATAATTTGGTACCCTGCAGGTATAATTTCGCCGTCCATTATCGAGTCATTACATCCAGTTTCCGTAATAGCAATGATATCAGCTTCTAAATATTCTAAGTTGCTACAAAAACTGTTCAACTTAGTTCGAAGGCCCCTGGCATTCTGATAATAGATAGTTAAATGAGCATTATTCTTCGATTGATTTGCTTTTTGATTTACGAAACCAATACCACTGAGAAAACTCTGCATGAATGGGCCAAACTTCCGGCTGGCATAACTTCTGATACACTGACTCTGAAGCGGTGATTATAAAAGAGGAATAGCTTCTTTCCCGCTTATGTTTTAGCTTAATAATCTTTGTATCAATATCCGATCCACATATTTTTTGTACATAAGTTGATAGCTGATCCACTGTGGTATCAGTTTTCAATCGCCAAACATGTAGATGTTTTATTTTTTCTGAAGCCTGAATCTCAAGCATATTGCAATTTTTTCCTCGCATAATATCTGCAGATTCTGACCTTAAGACTTTTTCTTGGGAATTATTTTTGTTATTCCTATGTCCTACCTCTACGGTCTCGAGATCCACCGATTGCAATTGATGTCTCTTAACTCGTCGCGTTTTGATTGTCGCTGAGCTGATTTTCGTGGCTTTCGTGGCCTCGCTAGTACTACCGCCTACCTGCCTCGGGTTTTGAGTGATTTTGGCAAATGTTGGTGTTGGTATATTTTCTATTCGCTTCTCCGATATGTCCTCGGTACGAATACACTGCCCGTTATTTACATTGAGAGCACGATTGATATTTTCACTATTGCTTTTATCACTTTGTTCAACTACCGACATGAACTTCGTTTTAATTTCTTGCAATTCCGATTTCAGGGAAATACACAAATCTCGAAGATCCATAATAGCTCTTGTTTGCATGTCCATTTTCTTGATAACTTGGTATTTGAAGGCTCGGAGTTCCAAAGCATAATCGCAATCACCATTTATGAGAAGTGAATCATCGGGTGCTTGCACGCGGGATCCTCTCAGCGTATTAATATTAGTTTCGAACGAGTTTTTTTCACACCCTGGAGTTACATATGGGCTATTTGGCTCGTTTAAACTGCTTAAATCACTATTTTGACTAATTTTCGACATTTTTACTAATTTATTTAAACGTTTTTTGCGGGAGCACACAAAAACACTTGCAACCGAACGAATGAAGATAATAACACAAACGTTTGAAAACAAATGGTGTTTATCGTGTTATAAATAGGTTTCCTTATCGATTTATATATCCGACAGTAGCCTTGCTTCGTTTAATATTATTGTTGAAGATCCAATGTTAAGTTTATTCACTGTTTTTGTTCTTTTTGCAAGCGTCGAAGTAGTTCGCCATTAGTACGCAAGTTGCAGTCTCGGAGTAAGCAAGTGTTTTTTGTTTAAATGAATTGAAACGACCCTCCAAAACAATTGTGCAGCTGTTAATTGTATTCTAACATAACTGCCAGTTATATATATATATTTTCGATTCGTTTCGATTTCGATTTCGTTCAAAAGCCGAAACGACTTCGTTACTTATTACTGTTCTCTACTAATATAAAGGTTAGCACGCAGGTACGGCAAAGATTTGACGAGTGAATCTCAGAAGTACACTTTACTCACCCTCTGACCTACATCCATGTCTTTACCGTCTATGAATAATAAAACAAATATGAAAAGGAACCGGCCGAGACGATCTACGCCGTAGCAACTTTTATCAAAGAAGGATCGTTTAAGAACTTATTTTTCATTTATAAGACAGACAGTATATTCGAGTTACCTGGCAGATTTTCATGCTGTTACGAAGTAATGCACACCGGGAATAAAACATTCAATTCTATTTCGGCCTACATATAAAAAATTGTATATGTTTGAAAATTCTTGTTTCGTATATTCGTATGAATTCCATTCCCCCTGAATATATTATACTGTTAAACCAATACAAAAATTATTTCTAATTCGAACCCGTAGTTCCTGAGACACGAATAGAAGGCCCGGTGATCAGTCCACCCTATGCTGACTATTTCACTTATTTCCCATTTATATTATAAGTATATACTTCTCGATGGTTTTTATTTAGTATTTCAGATATAGTTATATGGTTTGCTAATACCATTGACCGGCATGGCCAGCAGAGTCCGCAGCACGACTTCGATTTACCTTTGAGTGCAGAAAATGTAAGTACGGCTTTCGAAACTAAAGAAAACGTCATGTGTTTGCTATAAGCCATATATTGTACGAAAGGATGTCGTTATAATGTCCGTTGCAGTAGTCAATAGATGAAATCATTCGCATAACAGTTTGTTTGACAGAATAAGTGAAACTATCTGTATGATAGTTAATAAATAATAATGTATAACGTTTCAGGCGGAAGAGGGCAGAGATGGCGAGTGGCGCGGAGCTGGCGAGACAGACGAGCACTTCGTTGAGCGCGCGCTGACCCAGCGAGCTCCTGGCAGAAGCGAGCATCACCTAACAGGTAGGCACGAGACTAATATAATAATTCTACTGTACCTAATAAATGTCATAACTAAGACTTCGTCAGCGTCCCGCCGTTCTTGCAAGTTAATCTTGAAATATTATTTTAGATTAATGGAGGATGATTTTTTCATACATAGTTTTTTTTCTTTAGCTTCTTGTAAACCTTAAATAATATAATATAAACTAAATTTACTTAACAAAAAGAGATTTTAAAAGTTATTTCAATATGTATTAATAACGAAAGTCTTCGCAGACAAGATCGACCTCACTAATGCATTTCTGATGCAAATACGACTGTTCTGTAATTTGCAATTAAGTGAATTTACTATAACGTAAAAATTAAGCTTTGACAAAAAATCGTAAAAAATGGAGCATCCGGATAACGATAAATTTTTGATGAAGTTATAAAAGTTTTTATTTTGTTTCTCGCACAGAATGGAAAAAGGGCAACGACACGAATTTATATATAGCCTTGTAAAATGTTTCATGGAAGCATCCACAATGAACTGTTAAGATCTTTGTAACTGCCAATTTACATCACAATCATAGCATTTTATTGTTGTGTTACGATTACATTACGGCAGCTGTTTAGCTTTTTTAACGTTTCCTATTGGAAATAAACCTATAAAATTTGTCTGCATACTGGGCGAAACACTAATTTTTGTCACTATTAATTGTGTCAAACACAAGTACTTAAATTTACATCATATAGGTCAACATCGTTTCTCAAGGATATTAATTGTAATCTATGCTATTAATTGAAATATGCAAGAGCACTTACTCGGTGGTAAGAACTTTTTAATAATTATTTTACACTTTTGTTTAGTACATCATGAATCATTCTAACAAAACGTTTTTAATGTTTATGTGATATCATTGAGACGGCAGAGCGCTATTCGTTCCTTCCTATTTCGGAAAGTGCTGCAAATGCGGCCTGACCGCTTAATTCGAGACCACCGTTCGGCCTTTGTTGCGGTGGCACTTTTGCACCAAAGGAAGCTAATACATTCAAATGCTCTCTAATGCACAATTTAATCCCAGGTCCTAGGCTGAAGTAGGAATTTGTTTATTGCACTCTGAAAACCGTATCCCCGCAGCCGCTACGACTTGACTTTCTCGGTCGCGGGGTCGACCTGACCGACGCGCATTAAATATTGAATAACTTCATGCAAGAACGCAATTCTGAACGGACACATAGAGTATTCGGTCCGACAGGGGTCTTCGTCGGTGGTTCCAAAAGATCTTCCATAATTATACGCGGTCTTGAAAACTTCCAAAGCGTCGACGTCTTCGTTACGGGGTTGCAGCCTAAAACAATAATAATATAAAACTTAATCAATTATAAGTACAAGTAGTCTCGATAGGATTTCAGTGACCCCATATTAAGATCCCATTTTTTTACCAATAACGTGTCATCTTGAAGAACGCTGTATTTTAGAGAGAGCGACGATATTGTATTATGCTCAAGATAACATTTTGTGCCTCCCCGTAATGAGTTTGTCCAACATTAACATTCATAATGTAATTAAACTTGATGAGACTATCCAAACTTCGGACATTTCGGCGGACAACCTATGTACCTTAATAACTACAACGTGCGCGAACTTTTGAACATCTTCATAACAATATGGCCCTGCCATGTGGAATTAATTTATTTCTGGTTGAAGTAGTAATTCTGCTTTAGTCCTAACCGTTTACGTATAAGTTTAGTGTTTTCGCTACTGGGGTTTCCTTGCTCTTTAGCCGTAACGTAGACATTTCTTATGGCTAAATAGAAAGAACATTGCCAATATAACCTCTCATTCGTATTTCTATAATATCTATTCTCTGTTATGTCGGAGGTCGATCATCACATAATATAGTGGAACATAATGTTTTTCTTTAGAATACGTAGTTCAAGTGGAGCTCGGCAGACTAAGCTTTTTAAATCGTCATAAATATGCATACGTCTATTGAAGATGAAACACGAAATGGGTCATGGGCCAACTCCGGAGGTATTTAATACATTAGAGAAAGTATCAAAGCATTGAGATGAGATGAAGCGTGCATCTCGGTGAGTTTATATTCCACGTGGAAATAGGTTTTGCAGAATAATGATAATAAGAAGCGGTTTACACAGCGCTTACGTAAGCATGTCTGCGAAGCCCGCTCTCAACGGAGTTTTTATATCTCGCAGTCCCAAGTCGCAAAAGATGTACCGAGTGCACTGTATCCTATCGTATTGCAGAATAGCGCCCCATCGCACGTGCGCCTTCTGGAAAAGAGACGGGAAATTCAGTACAAATCTCGGTCTTCACTGTTTATATCTCAACGCCCATATGGCCGTTATAATATTATTTAAGACAGGATTTAGTAGGTCAGTGACAAAGTTTATACGGTTAAAATATATGCCACCTCTATAGGATTTCGAGGTTTGCTATTTTATTTCGCAAAACCAATGAACACGGCGGAACTACGCATTAAGAAAACATCGCGCTGTAGGAAGCTGCCCACATACAAGTGGTCGTCGTAATTGTAATAAATGAATAATTTGGATATTTTTATCTCTTAGACTAATAAATAAGCTAAAATGTTTTCTACGATAAACATTTCTCCCTTAAATCGTAAAACTATTAAACGTGTACTCACATAAGGATTTGGGGAGCTTAAGTCGCGTTTGAAAAGTAATCGAAACACCTTCGCCGCTGAAATAGCTTGGTAATCCTTCACAAGTATGTGAATACAGTACAACACCCCGATCAGTAGGCCGAGCACAATTATCAGTCTATAACAGGAGAAAGGATTAGCGCTATATTATTGAAAACGGCTCAACGTAACAGATACGCGACCGATGAAATATAATGGAAAATATTATATTCGTTCAAATAAATTCGAGCGTCCCATTGTGCGTGATAAACAGAGTAGAAAGAAAAATTTGTTCTTCAGTTCCGCCTCGACGTCGCAAATACTTGACAACTGATGCCACGAAATAAAAAGAGATTGATATTTTAATAATGGAAATAGTGAACGGAAAAGTAATATAATAGTTAGAAATTCAAAGTATGGACGCGAAAATTCCAACGAATACTTTTCTAGGCACATCAAAGGAACTTACTTCACTCCCATTGTTACCGCGACGAGTGCACGAGTGCTTACAAACGAAATTAACTTGAAACGTTTTGCATATCCTGCATCACAAGTCACGACATCTCGGCCGCCATACGGCGACACTACGACTACAGACAAATAATATAAATTGTAAGGAGGTGGTATTCGTTTCCATTTGGCCGTTTAACCGCAGGTTCGACAGAACCACTTGCGGAGAAAAGCCGGCGCTAAATCCGCCACGACGAGTTTTTGATTTGATTTCCGCTATAGATAATGCACGCGGCAGATATGCCTTCACACGGCTCTTCTGTATATAATGTTCACTGGCTGTGCCCGCACGAAGTCACCACGTGGATTTTTTATTGGAGTTATTTTTAATTGTGATTTCTTCTAAGGACCTACTGAACTTGAGCAATGTGAAAGAAAACTTTGTTCTCAAATAAATTAATCAACAATTCGTAAAAATGAAATAATTCCGACAAATTTGATTGTCATAAAAACGGTTCTTGTGAGATACCTTAAAGATAGACATATTATACTGTAACGGACATGTTTTAAGATCATTTGAGAGGAATCATTCGTTTACACATTCTTGGTTTCAAAAACAATTTTTCAATTTAAACAAGTAGCTAAGCTGGAGCGCTTAAACAACCTTTTTAAAAGATTAAATATTTTTCAACTTATTGATACATGCACCTCTCGCCCCTTTTAAATTATATAGTGCCTTCATGTGCAATAACATGTAAAAAATAATAAAGAAAAATTATTCTTTCGTTATGTACTAATTGTTATGTATCATTGTAAAGCACCTTTGTACCAGTTACCATATCTACATAGTATTTTATGTAAGTCGTAAAGACAAAGGTTAAAATAAGGCAAGTAGTTAGTTACGCAATACTCTTTACCAGAGAAACTAATTTAACGTTTGTAATCCTGTTTGCAGTGCTAAATGTGGAAAAGTGGAAATTCCGCTTATAAATGGACTATAAAATTGCATCAGGCTTATATCACACATTCGAAAGCCATGAGTGTTTTTGTTTGTGCAACTCAAACGGTTTTCCGGACTTCAATGAATTTGAGGGTGGACGAATATAGTAGTATACAGTAGTTGGATAATGGTCAACTTACGTTTCGATTATCTACTGACTGATCAACGCCTGAACTTCCGAGCGTTTGTTCTTTGTATGGCGTGTGTTGTTGACAATACAGTTATAACTACAAAAAGCGCGTTAATTTCACTTCTACGCAAAATATAGGCAATACTAGGCATTCATATCAAGTTATCACCTTCCCATTTACCTAAAACGTATAACTTATTAACGTCTAACTATGGTCATTTGCTTCAATTTGTTAAATAATATTAATGAAAAATAGTTACTATAACAATTAAGATGTAATAGTTCGCTACTTCAAATAAAAATAGTCGTCGATATATTCAGATTGCTAGCAGCTTTGTACGTAGGCATAATATGGTTTTTTAAAATGTATCGAATTAAGTAAAATGTATAATGTCATGATTTTAATGTAACATTACCTGTGTCAGCGACTTCGTCCACGTAGATATTTATTTTGGGCATAAAAACTTGTTTTTGCAAACCTCCTCTTAATCTTTATGGATTTAAGCTATTGGCCACAACGGTAGGTCGGTCGCGTCCCATCGTTTTTGCAATTATCTTAAATAATTAATCTTATAAGGTGAAAGTATCGCGGACATTTTTAGAGAACATTTAAATGATTCTTTCATATATACTTTTTGGAAATCTTGGGTCGGTACCGCGATGGAAACCCATAAAGATAAATAATTTTTCTCGTTTTTTCACACTATTCGCAGTTCCTTCGCTCCTATAAGACACAGCGCGATGTATTATAGCCTATAGCAGGCTTTCTCAGTTAATGCTCCTGAGATTAGCACGTTTAATCAAATAAACTCTTAAGTTTTATATATTAGTATAGAGTATAGATTGTTTTTCAAGCTAACTAATGTTGTCAGTATTTTATTTGAAAAAAAAAATTAAACTATGTGTACTTTAGTAATCAGTAATACAGCGCTGAATTCTTTATAAATTGTTGCCTGTATAGGTATAGACAATTTGCAAATTTTAAATTAGCTATATCAAATACACACACACATATATATATATATATATATATATATATATATAATATATTTTTTTCTTTTTATTGATGGTAATTGTACCGCGTTAATGCTAATAGGTTTTTACATATACTAAAAGATAGAGCCATAGAACTCAGGTAGGTATTATCATGCCGTCGAACTAATTGATAATAAAACAAACACGAGGTTCATATTTGATATAAAAGAGTTAATAGTATTTTATTGATGTCTAGATCCGTGGCATAGGCCCCCTTTTTGAATAATGCAATACTACGATGAATGAATGCATTTCGTTTTTATCCATGACGTAATGTACACAAGTCCTCAAAAGTACTTTGATTTGAGTAAGCGACATCTATCCAGAGAGAGTTGAACTTCAAAATATTTAGTTTAATTGAGCCTTGTGTTGACATGACAGTGAAGTGAAATCACACTAGATGTCGCTTTATTGCTTTTAGCGACATGATAGATAGACGACATGTGCGTTATAACATGTATGTCGCTAGCTTTTCGCCTTTTCTTATTTCGCACTTTTTTCACTAGATGTCGTTAGCAGGAATATTATTTCTTATTTACTTTCAACACGCAATATTAGCATCTAAGTATATAAAGTTAATTCTCTTCAATTCAATTTCAAATATCTATGAAATCATAGTAATGTACTTATCTCGGCAGTCGTTTTCGTTAATCTCCGTCATGATTTCATGGACGCTGGGGGGGATGTTTGCTGAGGAGCTGATCAAATATAAAAGACGAATCACCAAGAGTAAAAAGAGATGTTTCATCTCGGATGATCCAATCTGGAATTAATTTATCCCGATAATAGCCTGAGTTCTGAAGTCCTCTGAATATCGCCGCTCGGCCGCAGATGGCTTTTAAGTCTCGGGAACAATCGTTACGAGGGCCGGATTAATGACTCTTCGATGCTCGATATCCAGTCGCACACTTCGCTAGCAAATTAACAAATTTCTATTGAACTCCCCTCGTATACGATTTAAAATGATTCGCTCGCGATTTCGATTAAGTCAATATGCGAGACTACTTAAGTTACACTAACAGAAAACTAACTTACGCAACTTTGGTTGCGATCGCGAAGTTCCTCTTTCTAAGAACTTTAAGTTTGCACTATACAAACTAATCCGTCCTTAAGCTTACTTTAAATTAAATTTTGAGTTGCTGTCACTAACTTTGAAACCGCTTACGTTTTATGTCTGTATTTATATTAGTACTTTCATTTTGAAGAGTTGCCAATCCCATGAAATAACGTAAGTACTTTTTATAACGTCGATGAGAAATCTACACGTAACTTTCAGTGAAAAATTAGTTCGCTACTGAACCATTTAATTCATTGGCTAATGTCTCCACTTTAGTACTAATAACATCGAGCGTCGCAATGAATTTATTATTTTCGTGGGCTTTTAGTGAAAAGCAGAAACTTCGCTTTGCTTTGAGAAAAATTCCACGTCTGGTCCAATTTTTCGCTCAATGAGCGTTTTCACTCTTTGCAGTAATGAATACTGCTTCGAACGAGAAAACTGATGGAGATCTCCGCGAAGAAAAGTAATAAATCCACAATGGATTATAGTTGTATCATTCAGAATGTAAACATTAATGAAAATATAAAGGTACTATCGATGATTCTTTGTGTCGTTGAAAATCCAGTTCAACTATATAACGAATTTATGCTTTGGGCACTATTCAATTGGACTCAAATTAAATTCAAGTAAAGTGTACTCGTAGTTATGCCAGGAGCCGAATGGACCGACATATTCGTGGAAATTCAGATCGCAGAGCGTTGCAACAAGTTTTGACTGGTTGAACTCCGAACTGATGCTAATGGTGCAAAGTTGCCGTCTTCGAACAATCTACGTCGCAGCGAACTGTGAGTTGGACTGCGCTCGATAAAATTACTGTTCCCATATATCTAATTTGTGTACACGTCAACCGTTATTGTCTAAACTGTAATTTAATGTGTCCGTTTCTACTCTAAATTATGTTTTTGCCCAATCAAAAACTTTTCCCTGGGGTTAGGCTCTGCGCTAAACGCATATTGCTAGTTGAGGCACCATCGGCTTCAAATTACTTTACGTTAGTTAATAGCATCCGACTAGGTAGTAAAATGTGAGTGTAATTATACAATTTGTATGACGTATACTTACTATCGTAACTGCCTAATAAATTGTTCATATTGTAGCTGTAAAAAATATGATGATTCTTCTTCATCGTAAGGGATATTTGAATTTCATTTGTAGCCCTCGAGTTCGCGTAAAACCCCTCGTCAGACTAGTCGAAAGTGGCTCCTCTCGGCCCGGTGTGCTGCGACCCATATAAATTCGGGAAACAATTGACCATATAATTCTGGGGTTATCTGGATATGTCGGACCGGAACCCTTCGGAGGTCTCCGTTTTGACTTTCATTTCCTTTGATATTATTTTTTTTTAACATTTGACTAACTATCGTATTTCGACAAAACTATCGTCCATTCTGTTACTACTTCAGTATTATTAAGTCTAACACACAGATGACTCATAAACCCAATTTATAGTAAATATTTTCAAAAAGAATATTATAAACTCCTTTCAGCAATCATATAGATGAGTAGATAATCCTGAGTCCGTATTTAGCACTTGCTTTCTTATAAAACAAGCGTAAGGTAGGTAAAATACTTAGTAACATCAAAGGTGTAATAGTTCACAGGAATTAAAAATAAATGAGCAATTTTAATATTGCCTTCGAGAACGAAACGGGTCAGCGCTTCCATACAGTGCGAAAAGGTCAGCGCCGAGTATTGTCTAATAGATAATAATATAATGTTAAGGTCTTGCGGAGAGGGAAACGTGTTTATAAATAAAAACTTCACCCACAACAAATTTGGAAGAACAACATCACCGATATTTCTTC